GACGGGAGGAAAGGAAGGAAGAAGATGGGAGGAAAGGAGGAAGGAAGGAAGAAGATGGATGAGAAGGAGGGAGGGAGGGAGGAAGAAGATGGGAGGAAAGGAAGGGAAGGAAGGAAGGAAGTGGATGGGAGGAAAGGAAGGAAGGAAGCAGATGGATGGGAAGGAAGGAAGAAGATGGATGGGAGGAAAGGAAGGAAGGAAGGAAGGAAACACACTGATGATTTTACCTAGTTGGGTCATGAAACATCTGCAAGAAAACAACCAAGCTCAGAGAGCACCAAGGACCCCACAGTCTGTCCTTCCTTCCTTCCTCCTCCCCCTCCCTTCTAGCACTGATGATGTTACCTAGTTGGGTCATGAAACGTCTACAAGAAAACAACCAAGCTCAGAGAGCACCAAGGACCCCACAATCCTCCTCCTCCTCCTTTCTAGCACTGATGATGTTACCTAGTTGGGTAATGAAACTTGAATGATCTCAGTCTGCATTATGCCTCTTACATAAATACTTTCTAAGAAAACAAGGAAACACACCCTGGCCCTTCACGCATCTCATCTCCCCTTCCCTTCTCAAACCTTAAAGCTGTCGGCTCTTGTGCTCTTACGGTTGCCCAGTTGCTTTCTGGAAGTCTCCCCTGTCCATCTCCCTCTTGTGGCTACAGCTTGGCTTTGTTGTCCGGGGGTCTGGTCGAGGTCAGCGGTTGGCCTGGCCTCACCACCCTTTGCCCTCGCCGTCTCTTGCAGTGTGCCAGCGGCCCCTCCCCAGCAGGACCAGCCGGAGACCAAATCGAGGTGGCCACCAGGATTGCCAACCTGGAGGCAGAAAACCAACAGCTGCGTAGCGGTGAGTGGCTGGGCCTTGACTGGGGAACCCGTTTTCCTTTCTCACGTCCACAAAGTCTGGGCGCTGCTTCCTTCAAAATTCGATAGGAGCTGATGCTGATAAAACAACGACGCATCAAGACCTTAGCGTGGCGTCCTTTTCTTTTAATCGCCTTTTTTTTCTTCTTCCTCCTTTTCAGTGGTCACAAACCTCCAAGTGGCGATCTCCAAACTGGAGTGCCGTCTGAGCGTGCTGGAAAGGGCATCGGCTTCCCATCATCCTTCCCTTCCTCCACCAACACAGGTAAAACTTGCCAAACAACAAAAAAAAGTCATATGCGTGTCCGTTGCTTCGCTCGTTTGTAGATTGCAGGTGCTTTTTCAAAGCCATCAACATCACGTGAAGTGTTAATGCCACTTTACAAGGCCTTGGTAAGGCCACACTTGAAATGCTGCATCCAGTTTTGGTCACCACGGTGTAAAAAAAGATGTTGAGACTCTGGAAAGAGGGCAGAGAAGAGCAACAAAGAGGATTAGGGGGCTGGAGGCTAAAACATAAAAGGAACGGTGGCTGGAATTGGGGATGTCTAGTTTAAGGAAGAGAAGGACGAGGGGCGACAGGATAGCAGTCTTCCAGTATCTCAGGGGCTGCCCCAAAGAAGAGGGGGAGTCAAGCTCTTCTCCAAAGCACCTGAAGGCAGGAGAAGAAGCAACGGATGTGCTGCCCGCTTCTCACAGATGGGGCTTTTGCTTGTTTGCGTGGACCAGTTGCTGGCATGCCGTGGCCCGGTATCGGTCTACAGACCGAGGGTTGGGGACAAGGTCCTGTCTCCGTCATTCCCTCAGGAAAGCACAACTTGGGGAAACAGGCATTGTTTCAAAGGGAACCTTTTACTGAAAGAAAGTGACGGCAGAGAGAAAAGGCCGAATCTGAAGTTCCCAGGCAAAAGCGTCAAGCCAAAAGTCCCATCCTGTCAGCCCACCCCATTTCCCTGGTCAGGCAATAAATAACTGACGATTCTCTGACACCTTGCCTCTGCCCGCTGACAGGAGATATAACCCAGATGGCCCTGTGGGCTTTCCTCCTCCTCCTCCTCCTCCTCCTCCTCCTCCTCCTCCTCCTCCTCCCCATTTCCCCTGCAAATACATCAAAGCGAGCAAAGCGAAAGCAGGAATATCCTCAACCCACATTCTCCCCCTTCCCTTTCTGAGGGCAGCCTTCTGAGAGGGACCTGACAATGTCCGCTGGCGTGGAGGAAGCCAGCCCTTCTTTCCACTCCCCTCCTTTCTGAAGCCCCGAGGCGTCCCTTCCCCTTGGGCACGGGTCGGCAACCCACGGCTCCGGAGCCACATGTGGCTCTTTGAGTCTTCTACTGCAGCTTCCAGTCCTTCTCCGCCATTTGCAGAGAGACAGTGACAGAGAGAGGCACTTGCGCTTCCCTTCCTTCTCTCTCTCTCTCTCTCTCTCTCTCTCTCTCTCTCTCTCTCTCTCTCTCTCTCTCTCTCTCTCTCTCTTTCTCTTTCTCTCTCTTTCTCTCTCTCTCTCCGCAATCTTCTGCCTCACGCTGTTCTCCAACAAGCTGACAAGCTTATTGGGCGGGGCTCCTGCCTTTGCTGTGTCTCAGCAGAAAGCAGTATCTCTCTCTCTCTCTCTCTCTCTCTCTCTCTCTCTCTCTCTCTCTCTCTCTCTCTCACACACACACACACACACACACACACACTTTTACTTACTTAGTGGGGGAAGAGGACTGGCAGACCAAGGACAGGAGAGAGCCAGCCCAATAAGAATGTGGGTCAGCTTGTCGGAGAACAGCGTGAAGCCAGCTTGCCAGGTGAGCAGAAGATCAGAGAGAGGGAGAGGGGGAGAGAGAGGGAGGGGGAGAAAGAGAAAGAGAAAGAGAAAGAGAAAGAGAGAACTCATGCACAGCAGCCTCTATTTCTTTTTAATTAAACTCATCAATCAAGCCCCCCCTCCTGCGTGCGCACACGCACGTGTTGCGGCTCCCAGTGTTTTCTTTTGTGTGGGAAACGGGTTCAAGTGGCTCTTTTGAGTATTTAAGGTTGCCGACCCCCATCCTTGGGGAAGGGTTTTCAGGCTGAGGCTCACCTTCTCCTTTTCTCCACAAAACACGTCACTCCCATGAAGAAAGTGGAGCCCCTGGCCCTGCCCTGCAAGAAGGTGGTACTCCCTGCGGCCTCACGTGCTATCAAAGAAGAATCCCCGGCCGGTGCCGCCGCCGCCAGCGAGGAAGACGATGAGATCGACCTGTTTGGCAGCGACGACGAAGAGGAAGACCAAGAAGCTGCCCGCCTTCGGGAAGAGCGGCTAAAGCAGTACGCAGAGAAGAAGTCGAAGAAGCCGGGCCTGATTGCCAAGTCCTCCATCCTTCTGGATGTCAAGCCGGTAAGTGGGGGACTCTTGGGCTGCAGGCCTGGTTGGCCTTCCCAATCCCCTTGGCCAAGCCGGCCCGCGCTTCCCCCTCCGTGCTCCTCCTTGTGCAGACCACGGCCAGGTGGATTCTGGGTCGGTCCTTTTGACGGGAGGCCCAGAATTCGGTCTTCCGGGTTTTTCATCTGCTTTCCTGCCCTGAAGAGTCGATGTAGGGTGGTTGGAAGTACTGGGTAGGATTGCTAAAGGAGATTTCTGGGTGTCCCAAAAGTGTTTTTTTTTCCCCCAGGAGGCAATTGGACTTTCTTGTTTTTCTTTGAAGACATTTCGCTTCTCATCCAAGGAGCTTCTTCAGCTCTGACTGGATGGTGGGGAATGGAAGGAGTTATGCTCCTTGCAGACTCTTCCTTCCTTCCTTCCTTCCTTCCTTCCTTCCTTCCTTCCTTCCTTCCTTCCTTCCTTCCTTCCTTCCTCTTTCTTTCCTTCTTTCCTTCTTTCCTTTCCTTCTTTCCTTCTTTCCTTCTTTCCTTCTTTCCTTCTTTCCTTCCTTCCTTCCTTCCTTCCTTCCTTCCTTCCTTCCTTCATCTCCACACTTTCTAAAGGTTGTTTTCACCAGCCAGCTGTTTCCACTTCTTATCTTTTGGATAATATGAAGGACAAATCAAGGGAGTCAACAGGCACAATTGAAAAAAGAAAAAGAAAAAGAAATTCAGTTGCTATGCCAGGTTTCGCCACAAGATGTCCTCAGCAGACCACAAAATCTTTTCCCAAACTCCAATTAGCTTTTTTTTTATTTTTCAGTTAAAAAAAACAGAAAAAAAGATATTTTCCAAAACTAATAGTTTAGGTAAATGATAAATCTCTATAATAAGAGATTTTGGGACCCCAAGGTATCCACAGGGCAAAAATCCAGTTATCTAGTTGTTATTAGTTTTTCTTTTCTTTTCTTTCCAAAGCTTAAATTCCCCGGTATGCAGACGCTGCTGAATTGAGAGCAGGGAAAAAGTTTCAAAGAGCTTTCACAGGAAGGTAGTTAGGGTAAAGAGAGAGAAAAGGAAAGGTCTCACCCAGATCTTCCACGGTGCTTCATTGAGTTTAAAAGTGCTTTTGGCTTTTGGGTGGTGCAGCTAGAATGCAGCTAGATGGTCGGCCATGTTAATGGCTGACCTTTCTTCCGTCGATCCAAAGGAGCTGCCTCAGCTCAAGCGGGAGGGCTCCCGCCCTTCCACGCTTAGGCGAGGGTCCTCTTCAGTGGTGGTCGCCCCTCCAGGGCGACTTTCGACTCTTTCCAGGGTCTTTCGATGGAAAGAAACCAGACGACGGAGGAGGGAACTCTCCCCATACGTCTGAAGGCGCCGCGATCTGGAACTGGAAGCCCGGAATTCTTTGTTTCTCTTGACTGTGATTCGAAGTGGCAACAAATATATCAGATCTGTGGTGGGGGGGAGTGGGGGAGGCAACTCACTCATGTCCTGACATCACTATGGCTATCAGCATCCCTCTGCCTGCATCCTACTATGGCTGGCTGGGAAATTCTGGGAGTTGAAGTGCCCAAGTTTGGAAAGTCCTGATGTAGGAGATGACCAGGCTGAGCCTGAAGGTGGGGTCAAACGCGTCATCAGTCTGGAGTCCCTACATCCCTGAAAGAGATCTCTTAAGTCCTCCCTCCCCCCCCCTAGAAGTCCATTCATAGTTATCTGCCGCCTATTTGCCTTGACCTTTAATAGATCAGATTCTTCTTTTTTCCCCATATATTTTATTGATTTTTTAAAACACAAATCACTTAATAGTTGGTAAACACTGTGTTTGCTGGGTTTACATTTGTAAAGAAAAATAATTAACAATTGGTTTCTATAATCCATAATTCACATAGTACATTTAGTTGATTTTCCCTTTCCCCCCAAAATGTCGTCTTTGCAAACCTAGAAATAATACAGTTCTTATTATTTTAATAAATAACAGTTACATATATTATTTTTTCCCAATATTCCTAGAAATAATGATCACATCATTATTTCTAGGAATATTGGGGAAAAATAATATATGTAACTGTTATTTATCAAAATAATAAGAACTGTATTATTTCTTTTCTATCTAATCATTCTGGTTGTCTCATCTTATATCCTGTTAACAGTCCTTATTTAGATTTGTTTCTCCCATAAAGTTCAAAGTATTCTTGCTGGTTAAGATTTTCTCAACAGATTTAAAGATTTAAATCCATTTTTCCCATATAAACCATCTCAACACTTTCACATTTCTTAAAGAATAGGTAAAAACAGTAAAAGAAAAGGGAAAAAGAGCAAGATTCTTGTAGAGACTTCATGGAATAAATAAATCCATATCCTGTCTCTTGGTTTCTAATTTCGAGCAATTATTAAATTGGTGCTGGATTAGACCATATCCTTTGGAGAAGCAATTCTTTTCTCATTTTTATGGGTTGGATTTCAGCTAATTGACAGGAAACCTTTTATTTCTGCACACAAAACTGCCTTGCTTTGTCCCCTTTGTTGGCTGTGAGCTTGAGGTCCATCTTTCTCACACTCTTCTCCCCCCCCCCTTCTCATTTCCAGTGGGACGACGAAACGGACATGGCCAAAATGGAGGAATGTGTCCGGTCTGTTCAGATGGATGGCCTCGTCTGGGGCGCTTCCAAGCTGGTCCCGGTGGGCTACGGCATCAAGAAACTCCAGATCCAGTGTGTGGTGGAGGATGACAAAGTCGGGACAGATATCCTGGAAGAGGAGATTACCAAATTTGAAGATTATGTAAGTTTTCTGGGGTGACCGACTGCTCGGCGGGCCACCTCAAAGTTCTGCCAACACTGGTGAAAAGCCTTATGTTTGTTTATTTATGTTTATGTTTATTTAGATTTGTATACCGCCCTATCTCCCTTACGGGACTCAGTTATAAATCAGGTTATAAATCAAATCCCTTAAATGGGAGCCAGCCGTGTGCTGCAGCTGCCAAAAAAGCCAACACAGTGCTGGGCTGCATTGACAGAGGGATAGAATCAGGATCACGTGAAGTGTTAATACCACTTTACAAGGCCTTAGTAAGGCCACACTTGGAAGACGGCATCCAGTTTTGGTCACCACGATGTAAAAAAAATGTTGAGACTCTAGAAAGAGTTCAGAGAAGAGCAACAAAGATGATCAGGGGACTGGAGGTTAAAACATATAAGGGATGGTTGCTGGAATTGGGTATATCTAGTTTAACAAAGAGAAGGACGAGGGGGGACATGATAGCAGCGTCCCAATATCTCAGGGGCTGCCCCAAAGAAGAGGGAGTCAAGCTATTCTCCAAGGCGCCTGAAGGCAGGACAAGAAGCAACGGATGGAAACTGATCAAGGAGAGAAGCAACCTGGAACTAAGGAGAAACTTCCTGACAGTGAGAACAATTAACCAGTGGAACAACCTGCCTCCAGAAGTGGTGAATGCTCCAATACTGGAGGTTTTTAAGAAGAGATTGGACAGCCACAATGGCATAGGGTTTTCTGCCTGAGCAGGGAGTTGAACTAGATGACCTCCAAGGTCCCTTCCAACATTATTATTATTGTTGTTATTATTGAGGATCATCGCACTGTCAGCCAGATGTTCAGACTGGATTTGGCATTTTGTCTACCTATCGAGTCCTTACCCAGGACCTGGGATAGGCAGATGTGGATGTTTGATGGTATGACAGATCTCGTCGCAGGATGGAAGCAGTTCCTAGGAAGGCCGCCTTTTGCAATTGACTAATAGCGAATTTGTCAATGCCAATGATGGTGTTCAAGTGGTGCTCCAGTTGTTTTGGGATGGCACCCAAGGCGCCTATCACAGATTCTCTCAAGTTACCTCTGATAATCTGCAGATCAGGGGTCAGTAATCTTTTTGCCCCTTAGGACCAGCGGCCATGCTGCCACTATCACCGACCTGGGCATTTTAGGGCCCCTGGGTCACAACTGGCCCTGTTGCTGTTGTCTCTCTCTGGCTCGCATGGATTGCTTTTAATTTTGAAGATGTAAATGAAGACTCAATCGTCCGGGCCAAAAATATCTTTACAAGTTTGAATCCTGCCAACTGGAGCAAAGTTTATTAAAACTGGAGATGTTTTGTTAGTCATCCGAGTAATTTCTTCCGTCAAAATGAAGATTTGGGTAGGCAGAAAGTCAAAGCGTCTTAGTTTTGCCCCAGATAATCACCCTTCCCCCCCCCCCCGGTGCCCTTGAGGTTGAAGTCCCCCGGTAATGCTTCGTGGGTTTTCTGCAGCTTTAAACCACGGTTAATATTTCATTTAGGCCTGGTGACATTTCAGGAATGGAGAACGGAATCAGAAGTCGTTCTTACACCACTCATTCTGCTTAGCAAAGAGGAGGATACTGGAATAACAAGAGTTGGAAGGGATCCTGGAGGTCCTCTAGTCCAACCCCCTGCTCAAGCAGGAGTCCCTTACAGAATCATAGAATAACAGAGTTGGAAGGGACCAGGAGGTCCTCTAGTCCAACCCCCTGTTCAAGCTGGAGACCCTTACAGAATCACAGAATAACAGTTGGAAGGGACCTTGGAGGTCCTCTAGTCCAACCCCCTGTTCAAGCAGGAGACCCTTACAGAATCACAGAATAACAGTTGGAAGGGACCCTGGAGGTCTTCTAGTCCAACCCCCTGCTCAAGCAGGAGACCCTTACAGAATCATAGAATAACAGAGTCGGAAGGGACCTTGGAGGTCCTTTAGTCCAACCCCCTGCTCAAGCAGGAGGCCATTACAGAATCGAAGAATAACAGAGTTGGAAGGGACCCTGGAGGTCTTCTAGTCCAACCCCCTGCTCAAGCAGGAGACCCTTATACCATTCCAGACAAACGGTTGTCCAAAGGATCAAAGAAATGGGGGGTAGCTGTGGAAGGGCATGAGAACGTGGGAAAGAAAAATCTCAAAATGTGCAATGTTTTGACCCTGAGGATCCTGGTCAAAATCCCTTTTAGGCATCCATTAGCCAAGTCCCTTCGACACAACCGTCTGAATGCCTGGATGAAATGACAGAGCCAGGCCTGGGAATCGGCAGGTCTCCCCACGCAAAGCCGTCTCACGGCTTTTTTTAAATTTTATCTTATTTTTGTCTTCCAGGTGCAGAGTGTTGACATAGCTGCTTTCAACAAGATCTAACGGCAGACCTTTTACCCTTTCTAAAGCTAATAAATGGTTAAGAGTTGGAGAGCAATGCCGGGATCTTCTCTTTCACTGTGGGCTAAGAAATCCAATATTTTGACGCTTCGGCTGCAGGAAGCCACATCAGCGGCACCTGGGATGTAAATACTCGCTTCCAGAGGTCACTCATTTTGGACGCCGTGTTTAAATTGGTCCTACTGCACCGTTGCGCCCCCGTGGGAGAAAAGACCCACTGTCAGAGCGTGCGCAGTCTTATTGCACCGAGATAACCCAGGGGTAAACACAGTAAACAGTGGTTTGTATCAAATCGTGGTTTATCTTACACTATTTACAATAGCATACACCAGGAACAAAATACATACACGCACTAGTACAGCAGGATCCAACAAACCACAGTTACAGCAGGAAAAGGAAGAGAGCGAACACATCAGCAGTTGTTGTTGTTGTTAGTTGCGAAATCGTGTCCGACCCATAGCGACCCCATGGACAATGTTCCTCCAGGCCTTCCTGTACTCTACCATCTTCTGGGGTCCATTTAAGCTCACGCCTCCTGCTTCAGTGACTCCATCCGTCCATCTCATCAGCAGAGCCTTCCCTTTATACCAAGGCTCCTAAAGAGACACAGAGCCTGCTGAGTCATTCTCATCATTACATTACATCTTAACATCTTACATTACACAAGCTGGTTAGCTGTTAAACCAATGCCTTGACACCCACCCTTGTCCCTGAAAAAGGATTTGAGAGAGAAATTAAGTACAGGTGGTCCTTGACTTAATGACCGCAACTGAGCCCAAATTTCCTGTGTGAAAAATAAGACACTTGTTAAGTGAGTTTTGCCCCATTTTATGACTTCCCTTGCCACCGTTTGTTAAGTGAAACACGGGGTTAAGTTAGTAATATGATTGTCTGGCTTCCCCATTGACTTTTGCTTGTCGGAAGACCGCAAAAGGGGATCACACGACACACACACCCCGGGACACGGCAGCTGTCATAAATATGAGTCAGTTGCCAAGTGTGTGGATTTTGATCACGTGACCAAGGGGAGGCTGCAACGGTCCTTAAGGGTGGAAAATGGTTTTAAATCACCTTGTTTCCCCCCAGTGCTTTCGTCACTTCAAACCCTCCCTAAATGAATGGTTGTAAGTGGAGAACTTAGCTGTGGTGGATTTTCCTACTAGGATTTCTGGTTGTAAAAAGGCACAGACATTGTGGCTGCGCTTTTATCTCACTAAAAAGATAATTTTCTTCCCCGTTACAGAGCAGTGTTTCCCAGCCCTGGGTATTTCCTGGAATGTGGACTTCAACTCTCAGGTTTCTCATCCATGATGTTATGCTGGCTGTGGAATTCTGGGAGTTGAAGAAGTCCACACTCCAGGACATGCCCACGGTTGGGGATCCTTGCAATAAAGGATCACGGAGCGATGGAGGAGAAAACTCAATTTCTGGAAGGAGGGAAATCTAACCTTTAACTGGAGTGTTTTTGTGAGATTGCATCCATGCAGACATTGTGACTGCCAAGTCAGATTTCGCCCTGGTATATTAATAGAATAGAATAGAGAATAGAATAGAATAGAATAGAATAGAATAGAATAGAATAGAATAGAATAGAATAGAATAGAATAGAATAGGGAATGGAGTGGAGTGGAATGGAATGGAATGGAATGGAATGGAATGGAAAATGAATGGAATAGAACAGAATTAGAAGAATAGAATAGAATAAAAAATATGGAATAGAATAGAATAGAAAATATAGAATGGAATGAAATAGAATAAAATAGAAAATAGGGAATGGAATGAAATAGTAGAATAGAAAATATAGAATAGAATAGAAAATATGGAATGGAATAAAATAGAACAGAATAGAAAATAGGGAATGGAATGAAATAGAATAGAATAGAAAATATAGAATGGAATGGAATGAAATAGAATAGAACAAAATAGGGAATGGAATGAAAGAGTAGAATAGAAAATATGGAATAGAATAGAAAATATAGAATGGAATGAAATAGAACAGAATAGAGTAGAATAGAAAATATGGAATAGAATAGAATAGAAAATATAGAATGGAATGAAATAAAATAGAATAGAAATAGGGAATGGAATGAAATAGAATAGAATATGAGAATGTGAGAGAAGAGGAATTGAAGCATGAAGATTGCTTAGGCTTCATGAAAGAACCTTTTAATGCCCTCAATTGAACGCTCGCACCTTCAGGTAGCCCGGTACGAAGCTCAGCTTTCATGGAATCGGTGGAAAGTCGGAGGCACATAAAGCAGGGGTCCCCAACCTGCGGGCCGTAGCCCAATACTGTACCGCAGAGGTCCCCAACCTTTTGGCTACCAGGGACCACCGGTTCTGTGGAGAGAGGGTTTTCCACGGAACGGAGTGTGCGTGGTTTTGTGTGCTGCCTGCATCCCGCAGATGGGGCTTTGCTTGTTTGTGTGGACTGGTTGCTGGCCGGGCCACACCGGTTGGGGACCCTTGCTGTACCGGGCCGCACAAATGGCAGAGTGTGTATGTGCTTGTGTGTGAAGCTCCATTCGTGTGAGTGGCTTGTGCTTGTGCAGATGTTGTGTCGAGTGCCTACCAGTCACACAGAACAATCCTTGCCCCCCCTGCCCCCCATGCCAGGCCACCAAGCCCAAAAGGTTGTGAACCGCTGACAAAGGGAAGCAGAGTTCTCGTTCGCGCAATATTATTATTTTAGGACCAATCACAAGAGGAATGAGATAACAATTAGACTGAACAGGTAATCAAAAAAACCCCCCTAAAAAGTAGACGATCTGCCCCTAACTACTACGGTTTAAGTATAAAGTCATCTTGAGCTGACATTATTTCCATTTATTCTGTTATGTGCTATTTATGATTTTTATTACCAATCTTATCAGTCTTATAAATCAATATCTCCTTTAGAAACTGCCCATCTCCCTCACAAAGGGACTCTGGACGATGTACAAAGAAAATGTAAAAAAATAATAATACAAAAATGTAAACTAGAGGTAAGGATAGTTAAGATTCAACGTTAAAAGTTGTGGAAAAGCCGGGCTTCAGAGTGTCTTCCCCCCCCCCCCCAAACAGCTGCCCAATTCCACAGCCACTCCAGAAGGCTTGCAAATTAAAAATGAAAGTACAGTATATTAAAAAAAAAAAAAAAGGAATCAAGAACCCCTGAAGGCAGCTGATGGGCAACGGAAGGGGCTTGACAACCTCCCCACCTCCATACAGAACCAGCACCTGGGGAGCCACTAGGTCAGGGGTCTTCATACTTGGCCTTTTGACGACTTGCGGACTTCAACTCCCAGAATTCCTCAGCCAGGATGCTTTAAGACGGGTCTTCCAACTCGGCCTTTTAATGACTTGTGGACTTCAACTCCCAGAATTCCTCAACCAGGATGCTTTAAGACAGGGGTCTTCAAACTTGGCCCTATGATGACTTGGGGACTTCAACTCCCAGAATTCCTCAGCCAGGATGCTTTAAGACAGGGGTCTTCAAACTTGGCCCTTTGATGACTTCTGGACTTCAATTCCCAGAATTCCTCAGCCAGGATGCTTTAACAGGAGTCTTCAAACTCACCCCTTTGATGACTTGTGGAGTTCAATTCCCAGAATTCCTCAGCCAGGATGCTTTAAGATAGGGGCCTTCAAACTTGGCCCTTTGATGACTTGGGGACTTCAATTCCCAGAATTCCTCAGCCAGCATGCTTTAAAACAGGGGTCTTCAAACTTGGCCCTTTGATGACTCGGGGACTTCAATTCCCAGAATTCCTCAGCCAGTGTGCCTGGCTGAGGAATTCTGGGAGATGAAGTCCACAAGT